ATGGAATAATATTCATCCTTAAAAGAGGAAAGTCTGTTCTCTGCTACAGCACAGATGAACCTGGAGGACATTATGCTAAGTAGAATAAGTCAATCACAGAAAGACAAATACTGCATGATTCCACTTATCTGAAATATCTAAAGTAGTCTAACTCTTTTTTAGATCAGTCTTTAATAATACTTGCTATTAAAAGACAAAGTGAGAAGGGTTTATCTTTGGCCTAAAGTTACTCTGTGTTCTGTTTAGATTTACTCCTCATCCAATATCATGGTACAGTCCCACATTAGCCTTGCTCTGGCCACCACCCCTGCGAAGCCTGAGGCAGACTGGCAACCTAAAGTAGTCTAATTCTAAGAAACAGAACATAGATCACTATTTGTCAGGCCTGGGGGAGAGGGAAAAGGTGAGTTGTTTTCCAATAGATACAGGGTTTCAGTTTTATAAGATGAAAAAGTTCTAGAGATCTGTTGCAGGACAATGTGCATATAGTTAACGCTACTTTACCATATGCTTAAAAATCAGCTGGAGGAGCACATGACTCTTGATCTCAGGGTCATGAGTTCAAGCCCCATATGGGGTGTAGAGATTACTTAAATAAATAAAACTTAAAAAAAATTTTTTTTAAATGATCATGATGGTAAATTTTGTGTTATGTGTTTTTTATCATAATTTTTACTTATTTACTTTTTTCAAAGATTTTATTTCTCAATAATGTCTAAACCCAACGTGGGGCTCAAACTCACGACTCTGAGATCAAGAGTCACACACGACACTGACTGAGCCAGTGAGGCGCCCCTGATCATCATTTTTAAGGAGGAGATTTCAAATACAAGATGTCCCATGGTAAGAAATCTCAGAAGAACTCCTTTATGAAGTTATGAGCTACCTATTTAGAAAATCAGCACAGGTTCTAGTGGATACTAAAACTTGCAACTTTTTCAACGGCTTTCGCTGGAATGATGCTATGGGCAAGCGGAGCCATACACTTAAAAAAAGAGAAGAAAGATTCTTGGAGAGGGTGGCTTTTGAGCTGGATGTTAAAATAAGGACTTCCATAGGCAGAGGAGTGGGGGGAGGGATGGAAGGGAAAGTGCTTCAGCGAATGGGGTTGAGGGGAGAGAAAAGCGGGGTGTGTTTGTGGGGCAAGTGAACCCGTGTGGCTTGTGGCAGGGAGGGTAGAGGTGGGAAGGCTGGGTGGGGGGCAGGGGGGCGCTATGGGTGGCAGAGAGCAGGTGGGAGAAAGGGGCCGATCTGGGGAGGGTTTATAAACCTCCGGAGAAATTGGGAGTTTGCGTGGCTGCACAGGGGCAGGTGGGGATCACATCTTGCAGGGGAGAGATCAGGGAAGGATAAGCCTGGGCAAGCACACGTGTCGGAGACGAAGGAAACCGACAAAGCGAGTCTGAGGAAGGCAGAGGGAGTACGTGAGAGCACCAGCGAGCAGGGCTGAGCCCAAGCACAGGGGGCTCTCCCTGGCGGGCGATCGGATTCACCTACAGCCGGGCGGATCACGCGCGACCTTCCCTTGAACCCCGCCAGGAAATCACCGAGAAATCCCTCATTCCCATAAATTAAAGACGACCACGGTAGCCAGACAGATGGACAGATCGGGGGCAAACAACAGTGGCCTCGCAGCTGTCCCTGCCAGCAGGGCTCTTTGACACCCCTGGGCCAGGGGCTGGGAGTGTTTGCAGTGAGATAACATCACACTGGTCTCCTAAATCAGTTCTGTGCTGTGAACCAACAGAAGGTCTCTGAGCAGGAGCCAGGGACCCCTGCTTTCCTCATCATTTACTTGAGCAAACCAGCTCCACTTCCAGTGGGAATGACAGGGGAGCAGCTGGGGCTGGACGAAGGAGAGGGGAGAATAGAGAACGTTCCTCTTGAGACGAACTTTCAGTAACTTTCTGTTGCTGGAGCCTCCTCGGCCGGCTAGTACGGGACCCTTCCGCCAAGCACACCTCATCCCCCAACCTCTCCAGCAGGTCTCTCGGTTCCAAGCTCCTAACTGACGACAACTGGATTTGAGGACCAACAATAATTGCAAGGAGTTCCCATGTCTTATACCCCAGATTCAGGAATTTCTGAGTCAGCGTATTTGAAAAATTCAATTCCATTGACCACCCGCCCCCCCAACATGTTCTGAAGTCTGGTTCTGGAAATATGGGCCTAATAACACAGCTGCCACTTATTGAACCCACATGCCAGGCACAGGGCTGATCTCACGGATCACTGCCTTTAACCTTCACAGTGACTGTAGGGAAGGTACTTTGGTTCGGATCCCATTTTACAGCTGGGAAAATGGAGGCGCCAAGAAATTAAGAAGTTTTCCAAAGTCCCACAGCCCAAGGTTGTGGTGCTGACATGCCAACCTGCCGGCCTGCCCGTGAAGAACTATGGAAAACACATTTCTGATCGATGGCTGGTTAACCTTCAGAGACAGCTTAGCACGGGCCAGGGTGAGACATGTGAGGCACTCACGTTGGGCGCAAAATGCAAGTGGTGTCAAACCCCTCAGTCATCAAGTGGAATAATATTTTTAATGCAATGTTTTAAGAAATCATAGTTAATGCAAAAAATCCATGATGAACAAAACATCAAAAGTTTAAATAGAGACTCCACGAGGTGAATCGGAATTGGTGGAGTGGGATGGGGGTTCTTTGTGGGTTTGTCTCTTGGGTTCCAGATTCCTAGAGTTGGTTGGGGGCCTTGCTCCTCTGCTTTTCCCTTCCTTCAGGCTCTTACGAAGCTAATCTTTCCTGCCTCCTCCCCCTCCAGTTCAATTCCAAAGGAAGGCTCAGGCAACTAGCTGGGACAGAAAGATTCTCATGCTGAACAGAGAGCTGGTCTGGAACCCCAGAGAATGAATGAAACTCAGCTTGCTGTGCCCTGCCTGACTGCTGCCATTGCCGCTGCTCCTGAGGGGATGCGGAGGGGGAGCCCAGGAGCACTTCTGGATAAGAACTACCCCCCCGCCCCGAAGAGTTGCAGGACATTCAGTGGAGGGAGTCCACGTGCTCTTGGGATGGCCAGCTGCTTGGCACGTGAGCTCGCTCCCTAACGCAGTGCCACAGGCCACCGACCCAAAGGAAAGAAGGCACATGTGGGGCTTGCTGGAACGCAGAATGATTGTGCCTAAGCCCAGTCCTTTGCCTGTGCCTTCCAGTGCCTCAGCTCCCAGGTCCCTGGAAAGTGTCTGGATATGGCCAAGGGAAGTGTGGGCAGAGATGGAGGAGCTACGGGGCAGGCGCCCCGGCAGGGAGAGCTCTTCAGCCAGGCGCAGAGCCAAGTCGCTGAGAGCCCCTCGATGAGGAGAAGCAGAAAGTGCCCCATCTCGGCACATCTCCGGCAGGGGCTAGGAAGAGTTGAGGATTTAACCAGCTGGGGACTTAAAGGGCCCTCCTATTAGGCTGTGGCCATCCATTGTAAGCACGGAGAGGGGCTTCGTTAAGCGTGGAGACCAAATATTTCAAAATGAGGGTTATGCTTGAAATCTGCTGAAGGGTGTGGGATTTGGGGTCTGAGGTCCAGGGTTTGAGCTTGATCCCGGGGTTACCAACTCTCCTGTTTGGCCCCGGGGGCCGAGGGGTTTCCTGGGACACTGGACTTTCAAGGCTAAACCCAGAGAAGTCCTGGGCCAATCCAGATGAGTGGGGCGCTCTCTAGACCCCATTCTGTCAGGGTCCTCCTCAAACTCTGTCTCTCCTTTTCCACACGTACAGCACAGAGATACTGGTAAGACCCGCTGTGCTTAGTTTGCACACTGGTGGGACCCCAAAGAGCTAACGTGTGTTTCCTGCAGCACCTTGAACCCCCCTCTCTGGTCATAGCACATCCACTGCCAGACAGGCATCTGCAGGCCTCTCCTCCCTCTCAGTCTGAGCCCTCTGGGGGTGAGACCTCCATATTCATCTCTGCAACCCGCCCCCCCAGGCCTTGGCCAGTGCTCCGCGAAGAGAAGATGCTCGGGAAACCTGTGCTACATGGAAAGTGCTCTGCAAAATCAAAGCACAGAGTGTTCTCGTTGGTTGGTTGACACTCTCGTTTTCTGCCTGCCCCTGGTTAGCCCTGGGAGAAAAGTCCTCTATGGGTTCAGGAGGACACGGGGGGCAAGGTGGGGACAGGGAACCAGACAGAAGGTGAATGGGCAGCACGAGAAACCAGGAGGGTCCCATGGAGAGATGAGGAAACCAGTCCCCACCACAGGGAGGAGATGGACAGGAGCCGGGATCTTAATAAGCAGGCCGTTCCATCCTCTGGCCTCTGGGTCTCCTTGGCTGCCTGCCTCCCTGAGTTTCCCAAGGCTGGTGATCCCTCAGGAGGACCCTTCGGGGAGGGGAGGGAATGCCTTCCCTGAGGGTCGCCCAGACCTTAGCACGCTGAGCTGCCCTCTTGGCTCAGGCACGGGCAGAATGATAGACACCTCGGGGGCAATCTGTCCCAAATCTCCGCACTCCATCTCCTCCTCGCCCTTGCCCCTCCCATCCCAGCCGTCTGCTTCTCTGCCTCTAGGATCCTAGAGACAGAGGATCCTGGCTCTGCTTGATGCCCTGGGGTCCCAGCCTCCGTCCTAGCCCTCCAAGCTCCCATCTCAGCTGACTCCCCTGGTGAGCAAACCCTTTGGCTCCGGGACCATTTGGAGCCTGCTGGGGCTCGGTGGGGAGAAGCATGACCTGGAGGCAGCCCGGATTCAGGAAAGCCCCTCTCCAGCCCTTGCCAGCCCGCAGCGAGCCTCCATCCCACGTATCCTCCCAATCTCTGTGGATCTTATTTCATTCACTTGCTGGCATAACCTTCCTGGGGTCTGGGAGTGCTGGGGGCACAGATACAGCCGCCATGACCAGAGAATCCTAGAACTCTGAGTAGAAGAAACCCCAAAGGCAACTCCTGCGTTTGGGTAGATGAGATAATATCGTTTGCAATTCATGGTCAGGGCAGCTCGACTCATAGAGGGCAAGCAACCTAGCAAAGGAACGCTCAGCTGCTCCTCGGTCACATACCTGGACTCTCCTTTTTCCGTCTGGTTGACTTCTTCTCTGTCTCATGGGCAGTGCTCCCGAGGACCTCGTAGTCCTCACCTGGGCCTCCCGTGGTGTCCACCAGGCCTGGGCTGTTGGCCCCCATCTCCCCGGAGCCCCCAGCTGGGCCCGGGTTGAGCCTGCGCCGGGCCTCGGAGACGGGGAAGTTCCAGTCCGGGGGCTGTGGGAAAGCGGGGTGCTGCTCAGTGAAGAGGCGCTCCTCCCGGGGAAGGCTGTGTGGGGTGGCTGCCAGGCAGGAGGCCGAGAAGTCGGGGTATGCTGCCGCTGCTGTCGCCGGAAAGTCTGGTTTCTGGTGGAAGGAGAACGGTGTTGGCGGGTAGTGGGGCAGACCTGAGCCCCCAGTGCCTTCTGCGTGGGGATTTCGAAGGCAGCCCCAGCCCGGGGCTGGGGGGTGGGGGCTCCTCATGCAGCTGCTGGCCACGGGATCCATCTGCCGTCTCCTGCTGCGCGCGCCTCAGTCTTTTCAAAGTTTGGATTCTTACACTTTGTTTATATTCAAATTTTTTAAAAATGCAAAAAAAAAGATAAATAAATAAATAAATGAGAGGGGGAACCATTCAGCAGAAAATTCACCCCGGGAACCAAAACAAAAACCAAAACTAAAGTCTCCTTCAAGTATGCACACGTGTGACCAGCCACACGGATGTGTGTGCACACACCTATGTCAGACTTCACTCCTGGCTTCCTGCCTGTCCCCCCGCTACCCGCCCCCCCGCCACACCAGCCTGCCTATTGGGGTCCCCTGGACGTGTATTTGTCGCCGATGACACTAAACATTTTCACTGTCGCCACCCAGACGCACCAGCTGACGAGTGCTTGTGTTGGAGCCCTGGGCGAATGCCTGCAGAGGGCTGGCCCCGGGGCTGTGAGACACACTTTTAAATCCTGCGGTGGGGAGAGAGTGACAAATTTCTGAAGTGAAACGTGAGAGAGGAGAGGGAGGGGTTAAGCAGCACACACACGGTCCCCTCCAACCAAAACCCGAGCAGGCAACTATTAATCATCAGAAACCTTATATGCACATCTAATGGGATTTGCAGATGGAGACTTTTAAAGAAACATGGTCTGTATTTCTTTTTTTTTCATTTTAAGGAGAGAGAGCAGCAGCACACACACCACTTCTTTAATGTGCCTCTTCTACGCTATGAAGTTATTTTATTGCACTGTTAACAAAATGCCCCAAGTCTTGGATTTGGAAAAAGCCTTAAGTCAGATCCAGAATCCGTCAAGTGCCAAATTCCAGGGAGTGAAGCGGGGAATAAGTGCAAGAGACAAGTTTGCTGATTGCATCTGATTTAAAGGCCCTTCTACTGCTGCTTGCAAAGAGGAAGGTGGATTAAAAGAAATCTTTTTTTTTTTTTTGCAAGTCTCAGCGGCCCACTAGGGTCTGTAGCATAAAGAAAGACGCACTCCAGAAAAACATTATTTCTCTCTGCCCAAAGCGACATTCTCACTTTCTCAGTAACTTAAAAAAACAATCAGATTCTTCCTTCCGTTCTTTAACCCCGACTTACATGCCAATTAGCCACACTCTTCTCTAGGGGGGTTTCAAGTCGTTTTTCTCCACGGCAAAGGGAAGGCTCTTAGATAAGGTTCTTGAAGTTTCTCCAGGCCCCCTCACCTCCACCCCCCTGCTTCCCCTACCCCAGCCCCCGAGGCCACGGCTCCTGTGAAATCTGGGGCGTGGAAATAGGAATCAGGGGGATTCTCGTTCCCAAAGGAGTTCTCTTTGGCAAACGATCACATGGTCTTCCTGGCCAGTGCCTGTCACCAGGAGGGCCAACTGCCATTTCAGTTGGTCCATCAGTCTACTTGATGCCCACACCCTGGGGTCTCTCAGGAGGGTTAATATAATTTCTGGGAGGATGACATTCCAAGCACACGGGCCAGAGCTCCCCTCCCACTGAATCTTTCCACGGCCCAGAGCAACGGGATCAGGGCCAAAATGGGCACGGACCTAACTGTGTGCTGGCTGGTTCCAAAGACGCCAGGCGGGCCCACGGGCCTCAGCCCTGCAGCCTGGAGGCTGCACACACACTCTTCATGAAACTGGCATCGGGCCTCTGGAACGGGCAGGGTGTTGGAGGCCAGGAGGGAGGACGGCATCACTGCCTGGAGCCAGACTCATCTCTCTGCTTTGCCCGGGACTTAGCTGTCACACACACACATTTCTCCTCTGGATCTCATGACTCTCCTATTATGGGTAAATTAAGAATTATGTTCTATATTTTGCAAATGAAAATGAGGCTTAGCTCAGAAGGACACAGCTAAGAAAAGGCAGAACCAGGAGTCGCCCTCAGGCATCCCCTCTGGGGCAGCTTGACACAGAGGAAGGAGCGTGGACTGTGGGGTTCGACAGGTGCAGGTTCAAATCCTGGCTCTGCCACTTCCCAGCTGCGTGCCCTGAGACACGTCACCCCATCTCTCTGAGCTTCTGTTTCCTCCTCTGGGATGATAGTCCTCGCTGACATTCGCCCAGTGACCTCAGCACCTCACACATATTCCCCCAAGGGACCCCCACAAAAGCACTGTGAGGCAGGCGCTTTTCTCATCAGCCCCGTGTTTCCGAAGAGGACTCGGAAGCACAGACAGGCTGGGTCACCTGCCCGGGGACACACAGCCAGGAGGTGGAGGACCCAGGATTCTAAACCCCGAGCAGCCCGGCCCTGCTGCATCGGAATGCCCACCCCACAAACATCTGAGCATCTAAAGGAGTCATTTCTGGGACGTGGAGCTCCGAGTAGGTGACAGATAAACACGGTTCCTTCCTTGCCTGTCTCGTTCTCCTTAACTCAAGGATTCCAAAAAGAGACTGTGAGGGAGGAGCACTGAGGAAATTCTACCGCATAGCCTCGTGCAATCCCTCGAGGGGCTCCAGGCTGTGGGGGCTCTAGAAGAATCCACAGGAGGCTGGGAGGAAGCCCTGGCTTGTCAGCTTCCCCAGGAAAACCTTCCCGGGGGGCCTGGCCCCGCGGCTGTAACCGGACTCCTGCTCCGGCCTCCTCTGCAGCTGGCCTGGGGGAGCCCAGTGGCGGGGAGGCCCGGCCCGGGGAGGCCCAGCCGCGGCCCCTGGAAGGGGTGGGCCGAGGGGTCAGGGGGGCAGCGAGAGGGGCACGGCAGGGGTGCAGTGCGCTCCTCTGGGCCCAGCACCCCCCTGCACCCCGGCGCCCGCGCAGCTGCCCGCGTCTATCAGCCGCCCCGCGGGGCGCGGCCGGGGGCCTGCTGGCCTCTACATCTTCCTGACAGGCCCCTCTTCGGAGGCCAGGAAAAAACAACAGTCCCTCCCCTCACGGCAGCCCATTTGTTAGCTGAAGGCTGGGCACCAGCACCTTTAACCTCCTCAAAGTCAGCATTTCCCCCTCCAGGCCCCGCAGGCCCCCAGACAGAGATGGATGGAAGTGGCTGTTTGTGGAAAAAAAGCCCTGAGGCTGCATGGCCAAGGGGAGCAGGGTTTTCAGGAAGGGAGGGGACCCCGCTTCTGGTTGTTGTTGGGGTAGCGGGAGGAGGAAGAGGAAAAGCGTGCGTCAGGAGGATGGTCGGCCGGGCCACACCTGAGCCACCCCAAGGAACTTTTGGAATTTCCCCCATTGTGTGCGACAAGCAGGCTTGTCCTTGGCGCCATGGACCTGCTTCCGGTGCGTGCTAGGCCACCCCACCCAGGTGTCCGAGGGGAGCCTGGGGCCTGGGGGCTCGAGCCTGGACACGAGGTGGGGCCCGGCCCTCCATCAGCTCTGTGGTCTCAGGCAAGTCACATCCCTCTTCTGAGCCTCAGTTTCCTCACTGGCAAGAGGGAGAGGACAGTTCCTGCCTCATGTGGCTGTTGTGGGGATAAATGAACGGATGCTGTGACCAGAGTTGGCTGACAGAAATGGGTGGTGCACGTGAGGATCATTATGCCTTCTCTTTCCTTACTCTGCTGGAACACTGGGCCTGTCACGTCTCCTTGGAGGATGAAGACGGCCCAGCCTAGCCCCTCAATACCACCTTCCTCTTCTCCCCCTCCTTTTCCTCCTCCTTATTTTTAGATTTATTTTATTTATTTTGAGAGATAGAAAGAGAGCAGGGGGAGGGGCAGAGGAAGAGGGAGAAAATCCCCAAGCAGACTCCCCACTGAGCCTGGAGCCCAACGCAGGGCACCTGAGATCATGACCTGAGCTGAAACCAAGAGTCAGAGGCTCAACTGACTGAGCCACCCAGGCACCCCTCAATACCTTTTTCTATGGCAACACAACAGAGGGTCATGATCTTGGCCTTGGGAACCAGCAGAGTCTGGGTTCAAATCCCAGCTCAACCATGAATAAGCAGAATGGCTTTGAGCAACTCACTTTATCACTTGAGCCTCAGTTTCTTCATCTGTAAAGTGGGAATAAACTTTTCCTTCATTCTCCATTAAGTTGATGAGAGAAGTGTTTGAGGTGACCTAGGAAAGCTCTCGCCATTGCCTGGTTTACAGTTTTTAGTGGTAGTGTCAGGATCATGATGATGATGATGATGATGATGATGATGACCCCTTAAAGACAACTCCAGAAGACCCTGGGAAATATTTATATGCCACCCCAGGGGACAAGATGAAGCCGTTAGCCTTCACTCACGTAGTAGAACATGTATATTGGACAAGACAGCTGTTCCTGAGCAAGACCTCGGGGGATTGGACAGGAGACAGACAAGTTCTGAATATGGCAGCAATCATTCTGAATAAGGATGTTTACTCCTGGGCCTGGGACTTATCGGGAATGTAGATGCCCTTTGCTTCTCAGAAGGCTTTTTAAAAAAGATTTTATTTATTTTATTTGAGAGAGTGTGCGTGCGAGTGGGGTGGAAGGGCAGAGGGAGAGGAAGAGATTACCAATGCACTCCCCGCTGAGCGCAGAGCCAACCCCGAGATCGTGACCTGAGCTCAAGAGTCGGACGCTTAACCGACTGGGCCAGCCAGGCGCCCTGCTCCTCAGAAGGTTTGAGACAGCACGGTTACTACTGCCCTATGGGACCTTTCTGAGACTCGGATAATAGGATGGTCGGGAGAGAAGTGAATAAAGCACAGAGTACAGTTCTCACGACTGTCACAGGTGCCTCCAGTGAAGCCTGCAAGGTGCGACCAAGACATTCCCCTCTGGGGAACCAACAATGGGGCCTTTCCCTACGTCCCGATAACACTGAGTTTAATAGAGCCAGCTACTTCAGATGAAAGTTTTCTCTTGTGTGCATTTCCTTTCAACCTGTGGTGCTGCCCATCACTTGTCTGCTACCAAGAATGTGGGTGGAGGACTGGAAAACGCAATAGTACCCACAGTGGCCTGTATCGGAGCCCTGGCTCTTGGTGACCTCAGTTTCCCCAACTGAAAAGTGGCAGCTCAGCAAATAGAGGATGTACAGGAGGACATTCAGGAGGTGCTTAGGAAACAGATCCCTTTCTGAAGGAGTTTGGGGGGTGGGCCTGTTGACTTGCACAGGTGCAGGACGGTGCTCCTGGCAGGGAGAAGAGTCAGCTTTATCAGAATAACAGGAGGGGAAACGCACGGAGACTGAGGTGGCAGTTCCGCCGGGGATGGCCACTCCTCCAAGTCATCAGGGGCCCACGCACCGTCACTCTTTCTGCCTCCTGCCCCCTCATCCAGCTGGTGGTTCACGCTCAACTGTCATGTTGGCATTTCAAGGGGCAGAAAGGAGGAAGCACCAACAAGAGTGCCTCATCCCTCTGCCGCATTCAAGGGGGCTTTCTGGAAGTCCGGGTCAACAATTGCTCTTCAGCCGCATTGGCCAGCACCCGTCACTTGGCCATCTGTAGCCTCAAGGTAGGCTGGCCCCCCAACCCTGGCCTCTTCTTCCCCGGCAGAGCCCCTCC